TGTGTCTGCTTTGGCTCTGCCAATAGCTATGCAAAGCTCTTAACTCTTTTAGAGCCTGATAATAACAGCTAGGACTTATTGAGCATTTACTCTGCGCTGGATGCTGGACTAAGCATTTGATGTACCTTTTCTAAGTATGCCAAAATTCTTAGGCCAAAATACAATGATGTTCACATTCTGGGGCACAGTGTGGTAAATACCATCAGTGAGTGAAGAAAAAGAAAGGGAAAAGAGATAGGAATGTTAACTGTACTAGTGAAGAAGAAACTTGGTACAGTCAAGTGCAGTTTTCAAGAATGACATTATTTAGCTTTATATGTTATTTGTGGAAAATCAGGATTAGTTGGTAACATCCCGAGATAAAGTTGGTAAGATGTTCTAGGTTTGTGGTAATAAAAGCATCACATTAATAAATTTAATGTAAATGAATAATCTGCTTTTGAATAAGTGCTTCATTTTTAATTGCTGGGGCTTTGCTTAATATAGGTTTTTTGTTGTTATTTTTTTTCCTCTTTAACAACTGGGGAAGAAAAACCTTACGTCCTTCGAAGTTTGAATATCCCTTCGAAAAAAAAATTTTTTTTGGCAGATTTGCATCCAAGCTGTGGGGCAGGGTTTCATGAACTGAGATCCTGAAACATGTCGTGCTTTGTAGCTTTTGGAGGTAATTTGGAGGTTAGCTTTCACTATGTCATTCTCTTCCTACAGAAGTTTTATTTATCTGTGCCTTCAATTGCATTAATGCTTTAAGTTAAAGGAAAGTGATAGAAGGTTAAAATCAATTATCCTTCATCTTAGAGAATGAAGTCATCGCTAGACTCGGGTTTCATGGACAGAATGCCAATGTGGCTATAAAAAATTTGAGCTGATATCAAGCAAAGAGCCCTAGCATTGTCTCATTATTTGCTGTGAGAGACTATTTGTAGTAAAATCTCATGTTTAGCAAACGTTGACAGTTTTTTCCATCTTCTTATTAATCTCAGTGTTATAAATATGTAAGGGTAAATAATTATTAGGGAATAAAATGTGTAATACACAACTTCTTAAATATATATAAATACATACTCAAAAAATTAAAAAAAATTATTGTGATCTGTTGCTCTCTTTGTGAAACATAACTCTTTCAGCTTTATATTCCAAGTGACGAGAATAGTGTGTCCTCGGATTCCCTACCACCCCATCTTCTTTAGTTGAATAGAAATTTAAATGTTTTCAGTGCATTTATGTTCATAGCTAACTCTCATCAGACAAAACTCCAAACACCACATAGTAATATGTACTTCTTGGAGTAAAGTGATTGAACACAAGAGAAACAAAAGAAACCACCCAAGATGGGAAATGCATGCCCTCTCCACCACCACAAAAAATAGGAAAGCTGTGGGCTATGTAATAATTGAATCACTTTCACAGACTCAGTCTTGATATCCAAAGCTTCCCATTCTATCTTTCATTCTTCCAGGTCTGGGAAGGCATAACCCATACCTTTGAGACAACCAGCATATTCTGCCCTTAGGGCTTTCTTGGTCTTACATTTCATCTAGGGGTGTGAACAAAAGTATCATGGAGTGGTGAAAATAATACGGGATTATGCTTTAGACAACATTGGTGTCTGCTTTGGCTCTGCCAATAGCTATGCAAAGCTCTTAACTCTTTTAGAGCCTGATAATAACAGCTAGGACTTATTGAGCATTTACTCTGCGCTGGATGCTGGACTAAGCATTTGATGTACCTTTTCTCATTTCATTCTCATAGCCACGTTATAAGGGAGTTCTTAACATTACACTGATGAAAATACCATAAGGCATATTACCAGGAGTGCAGGAGAAAATAGCATTAGATATGTACATTTTCACTTCACAACTCATTTTGCTGTAGTTTTTATACATGTTGAAATATTTGTGCTGTCTAGTAATCCTCATTTTGTAGCTTATACACTAGTTTAAAAGGAAGAAAGGGAATTATGTCTGGTCCTATGTACTTGATTTCCAGTCTCTTATGCTTTAAAAACCTCCAGTTATTATTTTTTTCTTTACAAAAAACAGGGCAAAAGAAAAGAACAATTTATAGTAATGAGATCCCTCCTTTAACAAATAAACTGTTGGCCAGTCACGTATCTAGTTGCATCAGGAGAAATGAGGAAGTTGGTGCCTCCACAGTAGAGGGTTGGTTGAACCCAAGCTGAAGGGGAAGGGTGGGGATCTCAGGTGAGCCATGGGAGGGTGTGGACGTTCCAGTGGCTCAAATGTCGCAGAGCAGGAAAGGTGATGCCTGGGCCTGGTTTTATGAAACTTGCAAATCAGTAACAAAGAATCACTCTGGGGATTGGAATACCCTGAATCATTCCAGGGGGTTAGTTCTTATAATAAGCGTTAGAATCTCCTAGGGACTTGTTAAAATTCAGATTCCTGGCCTCTAGCCTCAGAGGCCCTGAGTAATTTTCAGATCTGGGTCAGGAATGGAATGTATAGTTCTAATGAGCAGTCAAGGTGATTTGGATGCTGAAAACCCTCTGTCCCAGTCAGGGAAAACCCGTGGGAGGGCGTCGGAATCCACCTGGAATGTACAGTGGTGAGTAATGATATAGACTAACCGAGCCCACTGTTGTGTGCCTTAACCCTGTCAGGCTTAGGAGCAGGCACAAGGCATGCTGACGGTAACTTTTTGTGGGGTTTTAGAAAATGGCACCATGGGTTTTTCTTTGATGAGTGTGGGATAATAACAACCTAGTTCACCAGAATATGATTATTAACTGAATGTGGGCCAGCTTATTTAAACATTTCTACAGGAAGAATTAACAAGTAACTGACCCCAACAATTAGTCAGTACTTCTGACTAGGAGGGGTAATCACTTTCCCGTTCTCTGGTTGGCATGGCAGATGTGGCAACTTGCTTGATGCTGTTCTAAGAACTCCTCTTTTTTACAAGTAGCCAAATGGAACTCAGCCATAAGTGGCTGATGAATGAAACATGTAGAATAAATGATAAAGCTCTAATAATTGAGATTTTAGCAAAGAGAATGATGCATAGATCTGGATTTTTGTCATGTCTCACTAATCTGTTTATTTGCACCAACCCACTCCAAATCTTTTGATTTGAATAGAAATAGCAGACATGTGGGCCGAATACTATTGTCTACAGGTGGTACTCTCTGAAGTCCATCTGTTTTTAAAGTGAATGTTAATTAAAAAATTAGCTGAAAGCTGTCCTTCCTTTTTTAATGCTGCATCTTGATTGTATGTAGCAGGTGTTGAAAAACATTTATTAACAATATCAGATTTGATACATTTCCTGGCTGGATTTTAAATATTGAGCTCAATCTTCTTTTCAGGCTAAGGCAGACACAAAATACTTAGATTTGGAGCATTATCTGACTTTTAACTAGTATGAAGTTTTTTTTGTTTTTTAGAAGAAAATAAGATATCCAATTACTATTGCCTTTTATGAGCTATTGTCTTGTGTGTTTGTGTGTTAAGGTAGGCTTTGTGAAAATAATTTGGTTTATAACTGTGAGGACACACCAAAATATCCAGCAATAAGGTACTACTCACAGGTACCTTGATTTGTTGGATATTATGCAGATAGATACTAAAGTAATAATTGTAAATATATATATAACGAAAAAGTGATTATGATAATGTTAAGGGGGAAAGATGGATACGAAATTTATATACATTAAGGCTGTGAAAATAAAGATACCTGTGGATAATTTCGAAGAGAAAACCAATGATAATTCCAAATTTGGGTATAGATGTGGCTTGGATCAAACAGGATGGTTTTGATGGCAAAGAATAGAAAATCCAATTCAGAATGACTAGAACAATAGGGAGATTTACTGTTCATATTACAAGAAGTCCATCTAATGGGCAGACTTCACCATGGTACAGCTCTGTTCCTTTACCCTCTA